CTCGGGCATCGTCGCGGAGAAGAGCAAGGTCTGGCGAGACGCGGGGATCTCGGAGGCGATCTGGCGGATCGGCTTGATGAACCCCATGTCCAGCATCCGGTCCGCCTCGTCGAGCACGAGCGTCTCGACGCACGAAAGATCGATGTACCCCTGCTCCATGAGGTCCTGAAGGCGGCCCGGCGTCGCGATGAGCACGTCGATCCCGGCCCGCAAGCGGCGGACCTGGTGGTACTGGCTCACGCCCCCGTAGATCACCGTCTGGCGGACGCCCGTGCCGGCGCCGTACGTCTTGATGCTCTGCTCGATTTGCCCCGCCAACTCGCGGGTGGGGGAGAGGATGAGGACCGCGGGGCAGCCGCCCGGGCGCCGACGCGAGCCGGACTTGTTCGCCTTCGCCCGGTGGAGTTGTTCGATGATCGGCAGCGAGAACGCGGCCGTCTTGCCCGTGCCGGTCTGGGCGCAGGCGAGGATGTCCCGCCCGTCGAGCACGACGGGGATGGACTGGGCCTGGATTGGCGTCGGCGTGTCGTAGCCCTCGCTGGCGATGGCGTCGAGGATGGGGCGGGAGAGGCGCATGTCTGAGAACGTCGTCAAGGCAGAGACTCCGTGCGACGGCGCGCACGATAAACGTCGCGCCGCCTGGGGACGGGTGATGCCGATCCGGGACCAATATGTGATTGGAACGGGGAAGCCGGCTGGGTGAGCGCCCCGCGGGTACGTCGCGGGGGCCGCCAGCAGATCCTGTGTCAGTCGTCAGGCCTCCGGGAATCGGAGCGACGGGACGGGAAGGTCAACCGGCTGAGTGGGGGGATTGTAGGGGGGATGGGTGAGGCGTGCTCGGAGAATCAATCCGGAACTCCCGCCGGCGCGAGAACACAGCCAAAGGCATGATTAAGGAATCGGAAACGGACCGGCCGGTCCGGGGCGCATCAGAGTGAGCGCGGCACGCTTCCGGAACCGGATCGAAGCCAGTAGAACCGCCTCAACGCCCAGGGACGGGACGCCCGGGCGTCCACGGCACACCGGCTTCGTCGAGACGGCGTTCCAGACTCGGCAGTTCGGTCACCACCAGCCGGTCGAGGTCCTCTTTCAGCTCGGCGAGCTTCGCCCGGGCGACCCCGAACGACTCAAGATGCGTCGGGGTCGGCCCGTGGAGGGAGTACTGCGTCCCGATCTGCACCGCGTTGAGCCGCTGCGAGATCGACACGGGGCCCTGGTCGTTGGCCATGCCACGCCTCGCGTTGCCGTCGAGTTGCTGCTGCAGATCGGCGACGCGCCTGAGCATGTCCCGGGTTTCCGCGCCGAGTTGCGGCGTGTCGACCGTGGAGCGGTCGAGCGTCTGCCGAATGGCGACGAGCCGGCGATCGGTCTCACGCAGGACGCTCCGAGCGCCGGCCGCGCCACGCTGCGTTTCCTCGAATTCCCGGTAGAACCGGTCCAGCTCTTCCGGTTCGGCGCCCGCGAGCGTCCCGCCCTCCCGGAGCGGGACGACCTCGAACCGCTGCGATGCGCCGCTCTCGATCAGCTCGCCGTCGACGCGTGTCGCCAGGGTCACGGTGTACGTGCCCGGGGCCACGAGCAGGCCGTCGTCCGGATCACGCGTATCGAAGATGTTGTCCTCCGATTCGCCGGGCGTCCACGGGTTGGTCGAGGGCGTCGTCAGGCTCCAGCTCACGCGGTGGATGCCCTTCTCCGTCGGCCCGGTAAGACGCCGGACCACATTCCCCTCGTTGTCGCGCACGATCAGCACAACGGCGGGGTCCTCTTCGAGTTCCTCCTCGCGGAGCGCGTCCCAGCCCGGCGTGGGCGTGTCGCCCCCCTTCTCGGCGATCTCTTGCTCACGCTCCGTGCGCCGGTCCTTGCGCGTCTTGAGCGATTCCTTGAGGGAGTACGTGAACGTCGCGCCGAAGGGCGGGTTCGGGGCGATGAAGTACGCGTCGCCCTGCGAGGCCTTCGTGCCGTAGCCGAGCGTCCGACGCGGGACGTACCACCACGCGTCGCGGACCGGGAAGAGCCCGGCGTCCTGCTCGAGCGTTTGTTCTGACACGTGACGCAGCGCGGAATAGTCGTCGAGGATGTAGATCCCGCGACCGAACGTCGCGCCGACGAGGTCGTTCTCGCGCGTCTGGATCGCGAGGTCCCGGAACGGGATGTTCGGCACACCGCCGGTCAGCTCGATCCAGTTGCCGCCGCCGTTCACGGAGAAGAACACGCCGAATTCCGTGCCCAGGAAGAGCAGCTCGGGGTCGACGTGGTCCTGCACGAGACGCCAGACGAGGTGGCGGTCGGGCAGGTCGCCGCGGATCGAGGCCCACGTGCGCCCGCGGTCGGTGCTCTTGAAGACGTACGGCGTGAAATCGCCGGCCTTGTGGTTGTCGACGCAGACGTACACCGTGTCGGCGTCGTGCAGATCGGCCTTGATGTCGTTCACGAAGAAGAAATCGGGGACGCCCGGGAGCGGGCCCGCCTCCCGCCAGTTCTCCCCGCCGTCCTCGGTCACGTGGATGAGCCCGTCGTCCGTCCCGGCGTACATCAGCCCGCTCTGCCTCGGCGACTCCGAGATGTTGGCGATCGTGCTGAACTTGGACATCGCGTACAGGTCCCAGATGGCGTCGAAGCTCTGGACGCGGTCCATCATGGGTTGCGTCAGGCGGTCGATGTTGCGCGTAAGGTCGCCGCTGATGGGCGTCCAGGAGTCGCCCCGGTCGTCGCTCCGCCAGACGCGCTGGCTGGCGACGTAGATCCGCGCGGGGTCGTGGGGGCTGATGAGAATCGGCGCGTCCCAGTTGAATCGCTCGGTGGCCTCGCCCTCGCGCGGCTGGGGCTGGATGTACACGATCTCGCCGGTCTTGCGGTCGTGGCGCACCGTGTTCCCTTGCTGCCACTGCGAGTAGATGATGTCCGGGTTCGAGGGGTCGATCGCCGGCTGGTGGCCGTCGCCGAAGACGGTGATCATCCAGTCCGAATTGCGAATGCCGAACGCGTCGTCCGTGCGCGACGGGCCGTACTGCGTCGCGTTGTCCTGCGTGCCGCCGACGACGTTGTAGAACGGCTCGTCATAGTCCACCGCGACCTTGTAGAACTGCGTGACGGGCAGGTTCGAGACGAATTTCCATGTCTCGCCAAGGTCCCAACTCTCGTACAGCCCGCCGTCGGTGCCCGAGAGCAGGTAGTCGGGGTCGTCAGGATTGAAGGCCAGGGCGTGGTTGTCGGGGTGCTTGTGCGCACCGAGGATGCGGCGGAAATTCTCCCCGCCGTCCTCCGTGACGTGCAGGAACACGTCCATCTGGTACACGCGGTCAAATTGGTGCGGAGAGGCGAAGATCTCCTGGTAGTAGTGGGGGCCCGTGCCGCCCGAGAGGTAGTCGCTCCGCTTCGTCCACGACTCGCCGCCGTCCGTGCTGCGGTAGAACCCGCCCTCGCGGTGCGCGAGCTCGACCGTGGCGTAGACGACGTCCGGGTCGATCGGCGACACGGCCACGCCGATCTTGCCCATGTCCTCGTCCGGGAGCCCGTTGGTCAGCTCGCGCCAGGTCTCGCCGCCGTCGGTCGACTTGTGGATCCCGCTCTCCGGGCCGCCGTTGATCAGCGCCGCGACCGTGCGGTAGCGCTGGTGCGTCACGGCGTACATCACGTCGGGATCGCGCGGATCGAGGTGGACCTCGTTCACGCCCGTGTACTCGCCCCCGCCGAGCACCTTTTCCCAGCTCGCGCCGCCGTCCGTCGTTTTGTACAGGCCGCGGTCGCCCCCGGGGGACCAGAGCGGGCCCTCGCACGCGACGAAGACCGTGTCCGAGTCGCGCGGGTCCACCGCGATCATCCCGATGTGCTCGGATTCACCAAGCCCGAGGTTCTCCCACGTCGCGCCGCCGTCGCGGCTGCGGTACACGCCGTCGCCGAAGCCGACGTGGCGCCCGCTCACGTCCTCGCCGCTCCCGACCCAGACGGTGTCGGGGCGGCTCGGGTCGAGCGTCACGCAGCCGATGGAGTACGAGCCCTGATCGTCGAAGATCGGCGTCCAGGTGGTGCCCGCGTTGGTCGTCTTCCAGAGGTTGCCGCTGCCGACCGCGACGTACCACGTGCTCGAATCTTCGGGGTGGATCACGATGTCCGCGACGCGGCCCGACATGAACGCCGGGCCGATCGACCGGAACTCGAGGCCGGCGAAGGTCTCGGCGCTCATCAGCGGGGCCGGCGCCTCGTCGTGGCCGTCCGCCAGCGCGACCGGGGAGAGGCCGGCCGCGACGATCATCGCGAACGAGGCGGCGGTACGGGAGCAACGTCGGGTCGTGCGGTTCATGGTCGTCTCGTTTCCGATGGGGATGTCCGAGGCCCCCCGCGAACGGGAGGACGCGTCGCCAAAGGTACACGATCTCAGCGCAGAATCGCGCACAAAGCGGGCACGCCGTACGCCATCGATCAGGCCGATTTCAGCCGGATCCGCTCAGACCTTGCACCGCCCCGACTCGCACGCCGGTCGCCCCGTGAGGCGCAGCCGGTGCTTCGCGAAGAGCCGGTAGGCGAAATCGAACACCGGCCGCAGCACCGGCCACCCCGTCGGCGCCCAGAGCCACCCCCAGCCAACCGCGTCGTACGCGCGCCGAAAAACCTCCATCCCCGTCACGGCCTCGCCGTTCGGGCCGAGCCCGTGGATCTCGCCCATCGCCACCTCGTACGCCACGCCTGTCTCGGTCTCGTCGTACTCGGGCGACGCGATATCGATCAGGCGCAGACGCCCGCGCCCCTTATCCAGGCGCTCGAGGAACCGCCCCTCAACGCGGCAAAGGGGGCAGTCGTGGTCGATGAGGATGGTGAAGGTGGGGGTGGGCACGGGGGAGTATTCGCGAATGATGCGGGATGGATTCGGTGGCGGTCAGGCGACTCCGGGCGTCTTCCCGGACGGGCCCGACCGCTCCCGAAGGTGACGGCTAAGATCACCCGAACTCCACCCGTCCGGAGCCGTCCGCTCCCGCGACGACCCAGAGGAAAGACCAGACACCATGGACCGACGCACATTCTGCCAGACCGCGCTCGCGGCCGGCGTCACCGTCGCCGCCGCGAGCCGACGGGGATTCGCCCAGGCCCCCCAGGCCGACGGCGCGGGCGACGCGCCCGCCCTCTTCACGCCCCTCACGCTCCGGGGCGTCACCCTGCGCAACCGGATCGCCATGTCCCCCATGTGCCAGTACTCGAGCGAGGACGGCTTCGCGAACGAGTGGCACCTCGCCCACCACGCCTCCCGCGCCCTCGGCGGGGCCGGGCTGCTCATCGCCGAGGCCACCGGCGTCGTGCCGGAGGGACGCATCACGCCCAGCTGCCTCGGCATCTGGAAGGACGAGCACGTCCCCGCGCTCCGCCGCGTGACGGACTTCGTCCGCGAGCACGGCGCGGTCCCCGGCATCCAGCTCGCGCACGCCGGGGTGAAGGCCTCGCGCTACGGCCCCTTCGACCGCGTCCGCAACGGCTACGTCCCGATCGAGCAGGGCGGCTGGATGCCCGTCGGACCCACGGCAAAGCGCTACCGCGACGACGGCCCCGTCCCCCACGAACTCACCGCGAAAGAGATCCGCGCCGTCACCGCCTCCTTCGCCGACGCGGCCCAGCGCTCGATCGACGCGGGCTTCCAGGTCGTCGAGCTCCACTTCGCCCACGGCTACCTGGGCCACAGCTTCCTCTCGCCCCTTATGAATGAGCGGACGGACGACTACGGCGGCCCCTTCGAGAACCGCGTGCGGTTCCTCCTCGAGACGACCCGGGCCGTGCGGAGCGTGCTGCCCGAGGACGCCCCGCTCTTCGTGCGCCTCTCGTGCACCGACTGGGTCGAGGGCGGCTGGAGCATCGAGGATTCGGTGCGGGCGTCGCGCCTGCTCAAAGAGGAAGGCGTGGACCTCGTCGACTGCTCCACCGGCGGGGCGACGCGGAACGCGAGCATCCCGGTCGGCCCGGACTACCAGGTCCCCTTCGCCGAGCGGATCCGACGCGAGGCCGGCATCCCGACGGGCGCCGTGGGCCTCATCACCGAGCCCGCGCAGGCGAACGCGATCATCGAGGACGGCCGCGCGGACCTGGTCCTGCTGGGCCGCCAGCTCCTCCGCGAGCCGCACTGGCCGGCGAGGGCGTGGGTGGAGTTGAACGGCGAGGCGCCTTCGCCGATTTCGCCGAGGTATGGGTATGTTTTGGGGGAGATGCGTGGGGGGTGAGGGGGAGTGGCAAGCGTCGTCTGAGCGGGGACAGCGTGCCAACGTCACCTGTACGGCGCGAAGCCGGGGGCGGGTGATGGCGATCCGTGACCAATTCGAATTGGAGCAGGGGAAGCCGGCCGGGTGAGCACACTTGCGGCTCCGTCGCGGGGGCCGCCAGCAGATCCTTTGGGCCGTCAGTGATCCCGGAGAGGGGATTGGTGGCGCGGGGAGGTTAACCGGCTTGTGCTGGGGGGGAGGGTGCGCTGGGGGGGTTTTTCCAGCTCACCGGTGATGGTAGGGAACCAGCAGGAGTACGTTTCCGTCCTGCGCAGCCGCGAGTGCGCTTACTTGGGGGGCGAGTAGATACTGCAATCTGTAGACTTACAATCCGAACGCGAGCCTGATCCCGCTCTCCCCGCAAACCCTCAACGGATACGGCATGCCCGCACCAGAATCGATTACTCGACTCACCAAGCAGTTTCACGAGCACATCGACGCTTACAAGCGGGGTAACTACAACGAGACGCAGCTTCGACGCGAATTTCTCGATCCGTTCTTTGGGGCGTTGGGCTGGGACATTTTCAATGAACAGGGCTATGCGGGCGATTACAAGGATGTCGTCCACGAGGCCGCCTTGAAAATCGGCGGCACAACCAAAGCCCCAGACTACTCGTTTCGCATTGGCGGTCAACGCAAGTTCTTCGTCGAGGCCAAGAAGCCCTCGGTCGATGTCAAGGGCGACCCGCACCCGGCGTACCAACTGCGCCGATACGCATGGACGGCTCAACTCCCGCTCTCGATCCTGACCGACTTCGAAGAGTTTGCCGTCTACGACTGTCGGATTAAGCCAACACCGCGTGACAAAGCATCAACGGCCCGCATCCTCTACATGACGTTCGAGGAGTACGAAAAGCGCTGGGGTGAAATAGAGGGCGTCTTCTCCAAGTCCGCCATCCTAAAGGGGGCTTTCGACAAGTACGCCTCGAAGAAGACACGCAAGCGTGGCACCGCCGAGCCCGACGATGAGTTCCTCAAACTCCTCGAAGACTGGCGATCCGCGCTGGCGCAGAACATCGCCCGAAACAACAGACTGACAGTCCGCCAGATCAACCATGCGGTGCAGCTTGTCATTGACCGTATTGTCTTCCTCCGCATTTGTGAGGACCGGGGCGTCGAAATAGCAGGCACGCTCAAGGATCTGCTCAATGGCCCCAAGATCTACGAGCGCCTCCTGGAGCGTTTCCGGCTCGCCGACGCCAAGTACAACTCGGGTCTTTTTCATTTCGAAAAAGAGACTGGGCGCGAGCCGCCCGACACGCTGACTCCCTCGCTCGTGGTTGGCGACAAAGTCCTCAGTGACATCATCGGAAACCTCTACTATCCAGAGAGTCCGTACGAGCTCTCCGTCCTCCCTGCCGACATCCTTGGTCATATCTACGAGCGTTTCCTCGGAAGCGTCATCACGCTTAGTTCCACGGGAAAGTCCGCGAAGATCGAGGAGAAGCCCGAGGTCCGCAAGGCCGGCGGCGTCTACTACACGCCGACTTACATCGTGGACTATATCGTCGAGCACACGGTGGGCGAACTGCTCAAGGACCGCACACTCGAACTCAAGGGGCGCGGCAAGGCCCGCGGCCCGGTGATGAATAAACCGCTTCGCGTACTCGACCCCGCCTGTGGCTCAGGATCCTTCCTTCTCGGTGCCTACGACCATTTGCTCGAATGGCATCTGCGCTACTACACCGAGAACGACCCCGAGTCGTGGGCGAAGCTCGGTACCCCGCCGATCGCACGGCAAGCGATACCAGATGAGAGGGCGACGCACGGCGACTACAAGCTGACCACGCACGAGAAAAAGCGCATCCTCACCGACCACATCTTCGGCGTTGATATCGATGCGCAGGCGGTCGAGGTCACCAAGTTGAGCCTGCTGCTCAAGGTGCTCGAAGGCGAGAACGAGGAGACACTCCAGCCGCTGCTATTCGCGAAGGAACGGGCATTGCCCGACCTGTCGGACAACATTCGTTGCGGCAACTCGCTCATCGGGAGCGACTTCTACTCGGGCCAGCAGGGCACGATGTTTGACGAGGAGGAGCAATACCGGATCAACGCGTTCGACTGGGACGTGGCATTTAGAGAGATTATGGAGAGTGGCGGGTTCGAGGCGGTGATTGGGAATCCGCCGTACGTGCTATTGCAGATTCTGAACCAGCCAGATGTGTTTGCACACCTCAGCCAGAAGTACTCTGCAGCTCGGTACAAGATTGACACCTACCACATATTCATTGAGCATGGCCTACGCCTGCTTGGGTCCAAAGGTCGGTTTGGATTCATTACTCCGAACACTTTTTTACGGAACAAGCACGCGCATGAGTTACGGAAGCAAATTCTGGATCTGAGTACTCCATTAGTCTTGCGACTGTTCTTCTATCCAGTCTTCAAGGGCGCATCCGTCGACACCCTGGTGCTGATTTGCTCGGGGGGTGCGAGCGAAGCCGGGGATATGACTACCATCGTCGAGTCACGGGTATCCGACTCGCTGGGCGAGACTCGGCAGCAACCGATTGGTGAGTGGCTTGGGCACGACAAGAATGAGTTTGGAACGGGTAGCAACAGTCAGCAGCAGTCCATTCTTGAGAAAATCGATGGTTGCAGTGAGCCACTCGGCTCGTTCGCCACTGCCTACTTCGGTATCCAAACACGCGATCGAACTCGCTATGTCGCCCAGGAGCCGGTTGCTGATCACTTCGTGCCCGTAATTGACGGAGTACATATCAATCGATACCGACTCTCCCCACACGAAGAGTGGTTCGACTATCGAGAGGAGGCGATCAAGAGTGGAGGGAAGAGAGTTGTCTACGAGCAGGATCGCATTTGTGTTCGCCAGATTGGTGCATACCCCATTGGAACCCTCGTGCCAGCGGGGTTGTACAGTCTGAATACGATGTACAGCATCTTCTTCACGAAAGAAGTTGGATATCGCTACCTCTACCTGCTCGGCATTATATGCTCGAAGCTGATGCGATGGATTTGGCTCCAGCGATTCTATGACCAAAAGCGCACTTTTCCGAAGATAAAAAAGGCTGCGCTACTAGGCGTCCCCATTCGTCAGTTGGACTTCGATGTCAAGGATCAGGTGTCCATGCACGACCGCATGGTCAAACTCGTCAAATCCATGCTCGACATGAACGCACGCCTCCATGGCGAGGGCGGTGAAAAACTCACCCCTCAGGAGCGACGTGTCCTCGAGAGCCGCATCGCTTATACTGACCGCGAGATCGACCGGCTCGTGTACGACCTATACGGCCTTACCGATGAGGAGATTGCTGCCATTGAGGAGGCCACATCGACATAAGAGAACTTAAACTATGCTCTGTGTCGTCGCTTTTTCAAGCTCAATCTATGTGCTGCCGCGTTCGAATTAGCGGCCATACGTGGCTCTTTCTAAGCTGGCGAACTCTTCAGGCTCCTACGAATCGCAGAGGTGACAAAGTAGCTGACGCCATGCGAAACGGGCACGAAAAAAGGGACCCGCAATTCTTTGCAAGTCCCTGTCGCGATTGAAATAGCGGGGGCCGGATTTGAACCGACGACCTCCGGGTTATGAGCCCGACGAGCTACCAGACTGCTCTACCCCGCAATCAGTGTTCGATTACGAACGGAGAACTGTACCGTCGCCCCCTCCTCCCGTCAAACCGCCCGCGGACCGGATATGGGAGCGGGGGGTTGGGGTACAGTCACCGCTTCCTGACGCGCGGGGCGGGATGTGCCGCGGGTTGGGGACAGGAGACCTCGCCATGTCGAAGCTGTTGCGCTTGTCCGCGTCCGCACTCGTGCTCGTGGGGGGCCTGCTCGGGGCGTCCTCGCTCGCCCTCGCCGATCACCACTCGCCCCGGGCCGAGACGGACCCCGCGTTCGCGTCGCTCGAGTGGCGGTGCATCGGCCCCGCCCGCGGCGGGCGCGTCCAGGCGGTCTCGGGCGTCGTGGGGGACCCGGACACCTACTACATGGGCGCCACGGGCGGCGGCGTCTGGAAGACCACCAACCGCGGCGTCTCCTGGTCGAACATCACCGACGGCTTCATCGCCACCGGCTCCGTGGGCGACATCGCCGTCGCGGAGGCGGACGAGAACGTCGTGTATCTGGGCATGGGCGAGGCGGACATCCGCGGCAACTTCTCCCACGGCGACGGCGTATACCGATCGACGGACGCCGGGAAGACCTGGACGCACGCCGGCCTCGCGGACACCCGCCAGATCGGGCGGGTCGCGGTCCACCCGAAGGACCCGGACACGGTCTTCGTCGCGGCCCTGGGGCACGTCTTCGGGCCCAACGAGGAGCGGGGGGTGTTCAAATCGACGGACGGCGGCGAAACGTGGCGCAAGGTTCTGTACATCGATGACCGGACGGGGGCGATCGACGTGGCGTTCGACCCGAACAACCCGCGGGTGCTCTTCGCGGGGATGTGGCAGGTCTCGCGCACGCCGTGGTCGATGGACTCGGGCGGCGAGGGGAGCGGCCTGTACCGCTCGCAAGACGGCGGCGAGACGTGGGACGAGCTGACCGAGGGGCTGCCGGAGGGCATCAAGGGCAAGATCGGCGTGAGCCCGTCCGCGGCGCAGCGCGACCTGGTGTACGCGATCGTCGAGGCGGAGGACGGCGGCGTCTTCCGCTCGACGGACGGCGGGGATTCGTGGTCGCGCGTCAACGAAGACCGCAATCTGCGCCAGCGGGCGTGGTACTACTCCCACATCATCGCGGACCCGAACGACGCCGAGACCGTGTACGTGATGAACGTGCGGTACCACAAGTCGACGGACGGCGGGAAGACCTTCAAGTCCATCCGCGTCCCGCACGCCGACAACCACGACCTGTGGATCGACCCGCTCGACTCCGAGCGCATCATCAACGCCAACGACGGCGGGGCGAACATCTCCTTCGACGGCGGCGCGACGTGGTCCACCCAGACCAACCAGCCCACCGCCCAGTTCTACCGCGTCGAAGTGGACAACAGCTTCCCGTACCGCGTCTACGCCGGGCAGCAGGACAACTCCACGGCGAGTGTCTCCTCCCGGGCGCGCGAATTCGGGAATTGGCAGCGCGATTTGTATGCCGTGGGCGGGTGCGAGTGTGGCTACGTCGCGGTGAACCCGGAGAACCCGGACATCGTCTACGCCGGGTGCTACGGCGGGTACCTCACGCGCTACGACCACTCGACGGGCGAGTCGCGGAACATCTCCGTGTGGCCCGAGGTGCCCATGGGCGACGGCCCGGCGGACCTGCAGCACCGCTTCCAGTGGACCTTCCCGATCGTCATCTCGCCTCATGATCCCGACAAGGTGTACGTCGGTGGGGAGCGCGTTTTCCAGTCAACCAACGGCGGGGCGTCGTGGCAGGCGATCTCCCCCGACCTCACGACGAACGACAAGGACAAGCAGCAGTCCAGCGGCGGCCCGATCACGAAGGACAACACCTCCGTTGAGTACTACTGCACCGTCTTCACGATCGCGGAGTCCCCGATCGAACCGGGCGTGATCTGGGCGGGCTCGGACGACGGGCTCATCCACGTGACGAGCAGCGGAGGGGGGGAATGGCGGAACGTCACGCCCGAGGGCATGGGCGACTGGCCCATGATCTCGATCGTCGAGCCCTCCTGGCACGACGCGGACACGGCCTACGCCGCGGTGACGCGGTACAAGATGAACGACTTCGCGCCGTACATCTACAAGACGACCAATCGCGGGCGGTCGTGGGAGCTGATCGTGGACGGGATCGGCGGGGAGGACTTCGTGCGATCCGTGCGCGAGGACCCGGAAGTCCCCGGCCTGCTCTACGCGGGGACGGAGACGGGGGTGTACGTCTCGATGAACGACGGCGCGAGCTGGAAGCCCTTCCGCGCGACGGTCGCGGGGAGCGACGGCGAGGACCGGCTCCCGCACGTCCCGGTGACGGACCTGAAGGTGAAGGGCGACGACCTGGTGATCTCCACGCAGGGCCGCTCGTTCTGGATCATGGACGACCTCGCCCCCCTGCGCCAGATGGCGCGGGGAGGCTCAGCGGATGGCAACCGCCTCTTCGCCCCGGCCCCGGCGCACCGCGAGCGGTGGGACCGCGTGCGCGTGCACTTCAACCTCGACGCGACGCCGGAGGACGAGGTTCGTCTGGCGTTCTACGACGCGAGCGGGGAGGAGATCCGCGCGTACAAGGTCGAAGTCGAGGCCGAGGATGAGGAGGCCGACCAGGAAGAAGAGGCTGAAGAGTCGACAGAAGACGAGGGCGAGGGCGACGACGAAGAGGGCGAAGACCGCGACGAGCCGAAGGACTCGTTGAAGGCGAAGCCCGGGATGAACCTCTTCGCGTGGAACATGCGCCACGCGGACCCGGTGAAGGTTCCCGGCGCGGTCGGCTGGCCGTCACCCCCGCCCGGCCCGCGCGTGCCGCCCGGCGCGTACGAAGTGGAGCTGCGCGTGAACGACTGGTCTGTGCGCCAACCCGTGACGGTCCTCGCCGACCCGCGCTACGACACCCCGCAGTCGGACTACGACGCGCAGTACGCGATGCTCCTGGACGTTCACGAAACGCTCAGTTCGGCGCACAAAGCGGTGAACACCATCCGCGCCGTGCGCAAGCAGGTGGACACCGTCATGGCCAACGCGAAGACCGCGGGCCTCGACGGCGAGCTGAAGGATGCGGCGAAGGCGCTGAAGGACGAGCTGAAGGCGATCGAGGACGAGATCATCCAGTCCAAAAGCAAGTCCCCCCAGGACCCGCTCAACTACCCGGTGAAGCTGAACGACAAGATCGGCGCGATCGCGAACACGATCGACGGCGACCATGCCCCGACGGAGCAGTCGCGTGAGGTCTTCGCGATGCTCAAGTCCGCCCTGCAGACCCAGCTCGAGAAGCTGGAGGTCGTGATGCGGGAGGACGTGCCGACGTTCAACGCGCTGGTGCGTGAGGTGGACGTGCCGGTGATCGTGGTGGAGGACGAGGAATAGCCCCGGGCGTCTTGCCGGGGGGGCGGGGTTGATCTACCCTTGCGTTCCTTTGGTTTCTGCGCGCTGAAATCACCCAAACGATCCCCAATCAACCGCACGAGGAAGACCCCATGTCCACGTCCGCCGCGCCCGCTTCGTCCGCTTCCGCCGCCTCCGGCGCCCTGATCCCCGTGACCGTCGCCCGGGGCGACGGCATCGGCCCGGAGATCATGGACGCGACCCTCCGGATCCTCGAGGCGGCGGACGCCGGGCTCGAGATCAACGAGATCGAGATCGGCGAGCAGGTGTACCTCTCGGGCGAGACCTCGGGCATCAAGTCGAGCGCGTGGGACACCCTCCGCAAGACGGGCGTCTTCCTCAAGGCGCCGATCACCACCCCCTCGGGCGGCGGGTACAAGTCCCTCAACGTGACGACCCGCAAGACGCTGGGGCTTTACGCCAACATCCGCCCGTGCGTCTCGTACATGCCATTCATCGACTCGAAGTTCCCGGGGATGGACGTCGTGATCGTCCGCGAGAACGAGGAGGACACCTACGCGGGCATCGAGCACCAGCAGACCAACGAGGTCAGCCAGTGCCTCAAGCTCATCTCCCGCCCGGGCTGCGAGAAGATCTGCCGCTACGCGTTCGAGTACGCGAAGGCCCACGGCCGCAAGCGCGTGACCTGCATGGTGAAGGACAACATCATGAAGATCACCGACGGCATGTTCCGCGCGGCGTTCCTCGAGGTGGCGAAGGAGTACCCGGACATCCAGACGGACGTGATGATCATCGACATCGGCGCCGCGCGTCTCGCGGATCAGCCGAACTCGTTCGACGTGATCGTCACCCTCAACCTCTACGGCGACGTGATCTCGGACATCGGCGCCGAGATCGCCGGCTCGGTCGGCCTCGCGGGCACCGCCAACCTGGGCGAGACGTGCGCGATGTTCGAGGCGATCCACGGCTCGGCGCCGGACATCGCGGGCAAGGACCTGGCGAACCCGTCGGGCCTGCTCCTCGCGGCCGTGCAGATGCTCGTGCACGTGGGACGCACCGAGGCGGCGGAGAAGGTGCACAACGCCTGGTACAAGACGATCGAGGACGGGATCCACACCGGCGATATCTATACCGAGGGCCAGAGCACGAAGAAGGTCGGCACGACGGCCTTCGGCGACGCGGTGATCGAGCGCCTTGGCCAGAAGCCCTCGAAATTCCCGCCCGCGTCGTACGCGAACAAGCCTCGCCTGGCGATGCCGAAGGTCAAGCCCTACGCGAAGCGCACCAAGGGCATGGTCGGCGTCGACGTCTTCATGGACTGGGACGAGAACGATCGCGACGCGAGCGCCCTCGCGAAGAAGCTGGAGCAGGCGGCGGA